GATTCGCTTGCAGCCCGTCGGTCCCGTACCCGCAGGCCCTTGGCAGGATGCTGGGGCGCTCCGCACGGGCGCCGTCGCCCCTTACTTTGAACAGCAACCTGAAGACGAAGAGCAACCAGAATACCAACCTTCTCCTGTGTCCTCCACGGGCTTGAGTTGGCCAGCATCAGGACACTCCAGCACTGGTGACTCCGCAAGTGATTATGGTTGGCCTGCCTTCAGAGAGGCGCAGCCAGGTGGTAGTGAGGGAGATGAAGATGGATCTGGGCTGATGGATCTTGATGAGGGTGACTCTTGAGTGGCAATTTTTACTTGAGCAATAGGACATGTATATATCTCTTCTGGGTGCGGAGCAAGGACTGTTGACTTTCGAGGGTCCACACGTGCGGACCTTGTGACTAAGAGGCGCCAGCACCATGTTGACGAAGAGGCGCCAGCACCATGTTGACGAAGAGGCGCCAGCGCCATTTTGACGAAGAGGCGCCAGCGCCATTGTGACCAACAGGCGCTAGCTCTGAAAACTTACCAGGCGGCGCAGGCGCACTAGCCACAACGGCAAAGTTACTGTGTAATGGCGCTCGCCGAATGGCAGCTAGCAATCATATATACTGGTGTTCATCCATGTGCCCGCTGGAACTCCTAACCTCTCATGAACTTTATTGCGCATGTAGTATGAAATGCACCCCCTTTCTCCCCCTTCAAACACTGCCCCATGTGAGATCACTTTGCCAGCAACCCCAACTATTGTCGATGGGTTGTACTTGATGGATATGCCTAAACCCGGGAAATCCATGATTCCAGTCAAGTCTTTCTCTCCCAAAGGCACTAGGACATCAATCCACTCATTGCACCCTTTGGTGTCACGGTGTACTGGTGTTGACCGGTTGCTAATCACTGACAAGGCGCTGAAAGGGGGAGTCCAATGCTTCAGCGCCATGTACAATTCTTCCTCATCATCCACAAACCCATTTTCTGTCTCGAGGCGGTGGAGTGCCTCCATTCCCTGCTCATAAAGTTGTGGATGTATGATACTCAGGATGGCGCCAATCAAAGCAGATGACTCTTGCATTTCCAGGCTCCACTGCGCCCCAACGGCGCCACGCTTCATTTGCACGCTGACTTCAAGCTTGAACTTGGAAGACTG